CTACAGATGCCATGTTTTCTCCTCCCTGCCCTGCCTGACCTTCCCTTCTCTGGCTCTCGTCATGCAAATCCAGGTAGGTGCGGAGGCCTTCTGATCTGCCTAAAAACATTTTCTACACAAACTCTGCATTTTCTCTGCCATCTTCTAGTTTGGGTTCTCATTTCATCTCATTTGGACTGACTGCCTCTTCTCTACGCATTTTGACTAGACCCTGTTCTTCCTTCCATCCATCCTGAATGCTTTCCTTATGCTAATGTCATGGATTGAAGCAGGAGGTCCGAAGGGGAGAGAATCAGAGTGCAAATACTGAGGAGCTAGAAGATAGATCGATCAGGATTGGGGGGAGGGTGAGACTTGCACCCTGTGATTAAGGCTCTCTTAGGTGTTGGCATTTCTTCTTCTTTATTTTTTTTAAGTGTTGGTGTTTCTTTTCATCTTGTCAGGAGTTCATGGAGTCAGCACCATTGCCTCTTTTTAACAGGAGGAAATTGAGATTCAGAGATGGCAAGTAGCTTGTGCAAGATCACACAGCCTGCCATGACAACTGGGGAACTTGAACCCCGACCTCTTGCTTCCAAGGTCCTCATCTCTCTCCAGGAGAGGACATCTGGAATGATTCTCTGGAAATTGTTAGGATTTCAGGTAGGTCTAGAAGTGGGCCAAACCCAACTGGACTTCCAGCTAAGAGATACAGCCTATTTGTTTGGCAACCAGTTCAGACGTGAGAGGCTGAGGAAAGCTTCTAGGCTGGTTGCACCGGGATCTGTGCCAGGGAAACCAAACTTGTTTGGAACTGAGTTAAAGTTAGCTGAGAAGATCGGGACTTATGGCTCTTTCACGCTTTCATGTTTTTATGGAAAATGAGTTTTGTTTTTCCTTAGTTTTCTAGAAACTTCCATTTAGAAAAATCAAACACTGCCTCCTTGCACGAAGAGGTAACAGGAGTGTTTCACACCTTGGCAGGTCCCAGCCTAGTCTTGGAGAATCCTGGAGCCCTGCCTGGTAGAGGCAGCCAATGGTGGCTCCAGTGGCGGCTCCTAAGGCAGGCAGAGCCAAAGCAGGGGTCAGGAGGGTGGTCAGTCAAAATTCTTTATGGAATTTAGAATTATAGAGTGTAAGAGTGCATAGAACAAAATGGAATGTTAGGGTTTTGTCTATAGTGTCCGCAAAGTGGGCTAATAGGCAGGGAACTCTACAAACACACATGGACTAGCACATGCAAGAGAAAATAGTAAGTAAAGGTCAGTCTCTCAACTATCCCACTCCTCTCACCACACTTGCCCTCCTCACAACGCAGCCTCTTCTGGAATCACACTGCCCACAGCAAGCCACCATAAAGAGGATAGGAAGGCCGGGCGCGGTGGCTCACGCCTGTAATCCTAGCACTCTGGGAGGCCGAGGTGGGCGGATTGCTCCAGGTCAGGAGTTCTAAACCAGCCTGAGCAAGAGCAAGATCCCATCTCTACTATAAATAGAAAGAAATTAATTAGCCAACTAATATATATAGAAAAAAATTTAGCTGGGCATGGTGGTGCATGCCTGTAGTCCCAGCTACTCGAGAGGCTGAGGCAGGAGGATTGCTTGAGCCCAAGACATTGAGGTTGCTGTGAGCTAGGCTGACGCCACGGCACTCACTCTAGCCTGGGCAACAAAGTGAGACTCTGTCTCAAAAAAAAAAAAAAAAAAAAAAAGAGCATAGGAAAACCCAAGAGTCTTCATGGTAAAGACACTGCCATGTTTTAAAGAACTGGAAACTTTTGAGTGTTAGGGAGAAAATGCAATGAGAACTACTAGAGTTAAGAAAATCTTCCATTTTATTCAATGGTTAGAAAAGAATACAGGCCAAGGTTATGTTACAGCCTTTTGTCTTCTCCCCTTTCTACTTCCTCACTTCTTTACTGGCCAGTGTTAGAGACTCTAGAAAGTCTGCCAGATGGCAGACTCATTTGGCAGACTTATAACTCATTTGAGTTTATAATTTCAATTTGAGAAACTCAAATTATGAAGAAACTGGTGGTCTGAGAGGTAGAAGGACTTAGTCACGGTCACAGAGGTCTTCCGGGTTCCAGCCTGGTGCTCCTGCCGTGACATCAGCTGCCTGTAGGTAAGGGGAGGCCCGTTCTACAAAGTCGGAAGAGACCAAGCACATTGCCTCCTCAAACTGGCTCCCTGGGAAGGGAGATGTGAGGGAAGAACCTACTAGGAAAAAAATGGAAAGATGAGAGTGTGAACAATGATTTTCCTTCAGAGAAATAAATATAATAGGTGATACATTCACATTTATGGGTCCATGCCTGTGCCTGACTTGGTGGTTAAAAATGCACATTCCTGAGCTCTACTTTTAGAGATCAAGGTTTAGTGCAGGCGTCCTCAAACTTTATAAACAGGGGGGCCAGTTCACTGTCCCTCAGACCGTTGGAGGGCCGGACTATAGTTTGAAAAAAACTATGAACAAATTCCAATGCACACTGCACATATCTTATTTTGAAGTAAAAAAACAAACGGGCAAAAACACCCGCATGTGGCCCGCGGGCCGTAGTTTGAGGACGCCTGGTTTAGGGCATGGTTTTCCAAACTCAGCCTCACAGATGGGAAGAATTATCTGATGACATTTGCTAAATTGAGTAAGTCCTGTCCCCTGGAAGTTCTGATTCCCGGTGGCTCATTTGGACTGGAAAATCTGAATCTCAACCTCTCAGGTGATTCTGTGTTTCTGAAGCCAACAGTCCTTTAGCTTATTGTAAGAAACTCTGAATTGAACGTATTTATTTATAGAGCATTTGGTTTCTCCTCTTCAATTGTTTCCTTACCTCTGACTTCCCAAACCATTCTGAGTATGTAGACATGGATTAATAAGACCTAGAAAAATCCAGACATGGTTACATCTAAAGATGAGAAAAGCTTGGTCGGGTGCTGGGATAAATGTAATCCCCTCTTGGCTTCACTTCAGAAGACTTTCAAAAAAATCTTTAAATGAATTTCAGAAAGAATTGTTTAAGGCCTGGAGAGAAGCAGGAGCTCCTAATTGCAATTGGACTCTCTGAGCTGTAGCTGGAACCTACCCTCAGCTCTGGTTGTGGGACAGTGTGGTTTTAGGAATGTGTAGGATTTATAGTTCGAAAAGTGCCAGAAAATCAGGAATTTAAATCCCTCCTGATTTATGCCTAGCTTGTCAAAGGCTTCAGAGCTTTAGAAACACTGAATCTTTTAGTGCGGCTCTGAAGTGTGAGCTGTCTGGCTTCTCAGCTGATTGTTATTAACAACGGTTGCCTCTAACGCTTTTGCAGCCCTCCGCTGTAACCTTTAAACTGGGTTTGTTCCTGCTTTGCGAGCTGTTATAAATTTCATGATTAAAAAAAAAATCATAATAGGAACATTCCCTGACTTTTTCAGCCAACATTTCTTCTAAGGCTGGTTACCTGGGGGACGGAGGCTGAAGCGTCCTTTATGTGTGCCCACACATCTGAGCTGCTTTCTTGTTGAATGCTGAAAATATGCAGTAAGTTTTTACTGAAGAATAATTCTTTAGCAAAGAAGAGACAAACGCAAGCCCACTCATTTTGTTCTCTGTATTTGTGGCTGCTTGTTATAAATCCAGGAGCATTTGGTGCAGAAAACTGGACCCTCTTCCCCTCACATGGTTACTGTAAACGATTTAAATCAATCCCTTTTAAGCAGCGTTGGGTACAGGAAGCACAACATGCAGGGACTAAATATGCCATTTAAATTCATCTCAGGCAAAGGTTAAAAAAGGGGTGGGGGGAGGAGCAGGCAGAGCAGAGACTGCCGAAGTAGCTGTATTCAAATATTTTTGATGGGTTTCTAAGATACTTGTCTCTTTTCCCGAAGCAAATGCATTCACATCTAAGAAAGAAAACAAACAGGGAAAATGTTAGCTCTTGTGATGGTGAGCTCATGAGAAATGCCAAAAGAGTTGTTTGTGCACAGCCTCAAATATCAGGGTTTCTTTATTGTCGAGCTTTGATGCTCAGAATCAGGCAGAACGTTTCCATGACAACTAATAGATGTTATGTTTATTTACTGAGTGGCAGGGAATGACAGTGTCAGCAACTGACATTTTAGTTTCTTTCTCCTCTTTTTCTCCCCAGTAAAGATTTGTTTTAGTCAATGAAAATGGCAACAACATCTTCCATTTTATTTGTCAGAGCTTCTGGGGCAAAAGTAAACAGCAGTTTAATTTGATTCAGTTATTCCCTGAAAACATACTTTAAAGACCCGTCGCTTTATGGGCCTCAGAGAGCATTTACAGTGGGCAGTTGCTGGTGAGAAGATGCTTTATAAAGGGAAAAGCAAATTTCAGGTTTTATTCACTTGAAAATGATCTAACAACTGCATTCCGGGCTGTCTAAATTTACATAGGTCGTCTCATTAATGTCCTCTAAATTTCAGGTGACCTTGTTTATGCTCCTACTGATATATCCATAAAAAGGGTCTATTAAGACTTGTAACAAGAGCACAACCTCAGCAGAGACAGGAGAGGGGGCCACTGGATGATTCTCACTGGTTATAAATAATGATGTATTTCACTCCGTTACCTGCCTGTGGCTTGTCTGCCCTCTAAATTATCTGCGGTCAATTTTTAATGCTGAACTGGCTTCCTCCCACTATCCAGCTGGTGCATGCTCAAGGGATATAAGCCAATGTTAGCATTTGCTTTAAGAAAACACAATTAGGAAGGCAAGCTGCTGCTGGGGGAGGGGGTGGATGTTCGTATGATGCATGCCAAAGCAGAGAACTGGCTTTTTTTTTTTTTCTTATATTATCTGTACTTGCTGCTCTGATTAATTTGAGCAATTGAAACTTGAGATACTTTCAGCTTTTGAGATAACAACTCAAGGCAATAGTCGGTGTGTGACTATTAGGCGGTGCTCAAACTATTGCCTGAAAGCACCCTTCCCCAATCTCCTACTGTGTCGGGTAGAGATTAGCTTCTCTCATAAGAGGTGTATCTCTTCATTAAACTTGTCTGTTGCAGACCTCTTTCTCGCACCAGAAGTTAAGCAGCTGGAAGGCAGGGGTTGTGTCTTATTCAGCTTTGTATCCACAGCACCGAGCAGTTTCTGGCACAGCAGGCATTCAAGAAACCTCTGTGGAACAAATGGATAACGAATGAGTAAGTTATCACAACCCAGCTCGTGCCGTCTCAGCTACTAGGTGGAATCAGGCATTCCCTCTTCCGACCACGCTGCCATGACGTGCCTCTCTAGTGTTATTGTCAGCTTCTAGTTCTGCAGAACAAATGCATTAGTTAGTGTACATTTCAGGATGAGAGCTAGCACTTCCCAAAAGGATGCTCTTCTGTTTTGTAGCACACACACACACACACACACACACACACACACACACATGCACACAGCAAATAATGCAACAGAAAAGTAACAAAAAAGAAGCACATTCTTATGAGAACCACTTCTAGCCCTAGGGAGACAGAGAGAGAAGGAAGAACACTGAAGATCTGGAAAACTTGGATTTTCTTTCACTAAGTAGTCACAACACCTTTGGGTCTCAGTGACCTCACTTCTAACATAAGGGGTTTGGACCAGATAAACTTTTCCCAAACTGTATTCCAGTGGACACTGATGTCTACAGTGGGTTAACAGCTCTTCTGAAGCAATAAAAAAACCCAAGCATTGTGAAAAAATAAATTAAACAGGAGTACTTGGAATCCCAAGTGGAAAACCGAGTCTGAGAGGTCTCAGGAAATATGGGGCTTCTGTTCTCCAATGTCTTCTAAGCCCATGTGACCAGGAATCCTACCAGAGGAAGACAGGTCTTACTTCCTTCATGCTGCTATGACAAAATACCAGAGACTAGGTCATTTGTAAAGAACAGAAACTTATTTCTCACAGTTCTGGAAGCTGGGAAGCCCAAGATCAAGGTGCCAGCATTTGGTCTGGCGAGGGCCCTCTTGCTGTATCCTCCCGTGGCAGCAGGGCAAGCCAGAGAGAACTAGCCCAGCAGTCCATGAAGCCTCTTTTATAAGGGCCTTAATGCTATTAATGAGGGAGGAGCCCTCACAGCCGAATCGCCTCTTAAAGGCCCTACCTCTTAATACCATCACAATGGCAACACCTGAACTTTGGAGAGGACACATTCAAACCACAGCAAAGCCCATGGGCGAAAGTACTACTTTCCCCAAACTTATTTGATAATTAACCACTTTTCTGAGGGGCACTAGGGTTCTTGGCTGGGGGTTCTTTCCCCAGAGGAAAACAAGCTTCAGGTGATGGAAATTCCGAGTTATGCTCTTTTGGTCAAGGGTTACTTAGTCGCATTTTTAAAAACTCATATTTTGCCAACATAATAGAAGAACAGAGACTTAGGAAATTGAGGTAATATTATAGATAATCAATAAAAAAAAGGACTGCACCACTCACTTGTGGTTCGTCTACACTTAATCATATTCACTGATAATGATCAGGCTTCTAATCCCATATAAGTGCAGATTGAATCAGGTCTGGAAAACATGAAATTTATGCACCACCTTCTAGGTTTGTTCAGTCAGGAATCCTACAAGTGGAAGCCCATGGGATCTTCTAGTGTGAAGCTCTCAGAGGAGGAGGAGAAAGATAAGAGTAGTCTATTGCCACAAGCCTTCCACGTCTCTCCTTCAGATATACTATTTTCAGATTTAATATCAACAATAAGAAGAATGAATCACTGTCTATGGGGTAAAATATGCCATGAATACAAATATGAGGAATTTCTGAAGGAAAGGGGGAAGGAGAAGAAGGTAACTACTATTTTTTGAGTAGCTACTATATGCTGAGTTTTATGCTAAGCATTTTGCAACTGCATGGGAAGTTTCCAGAATCAGTATCCTCTTTTACACGTGAGAAAACTGAAGTTCATGGTGATGTGAGGTTCATCAGCCAATAAGGGGCAGGGCCTAGATTCAAATCCTGATGTTAGGACATCAAAGTCTGCGAGCTTTCCATTTTATTCTGCTGAGGGAGAGAGAGAGAGTTACCCAGAGAGAGTTAACACTAGCAACCATGAACAATGCTTAACCAAGTCACAGAAGCAATAAGGTAAGAGACGGCATCATGGGTTTGGTGGTCAGGGATGGAATTAAACAAGATGTGGGATTTGAGCTGATCTTTGAAGAATCAAAAGGCTCTAGAGACACAACTGGAATTAGGGCCAAGCAAGAACCCCATCACTTCTGCTGCTTTGAAGATCTGTGGCCACACGGTCATCTCAGAAAGAATTGAGTGGTCTTGAGGGTCTAGTGTAGGTTTATCCTAGGCATGTTGCTGCCTGTAGGAACTTATGATCCTTGGGGCATGGCAAAATTGTAGACCTGCCTGAGCTCTGTGATGTTGCTACAATGAGCAGCTTCTATTTGAGCTTTCTGTGGCAGATTTCATGATCTGGCCTTTGTAGTGGCTCAAATAAGGTTATCATACAGTGCAAAAGAAAAGCATGAAGGCCCAGTTGAAAATGGACAAGAAGACAGAATTGTCAAGAAAGTCCTAGTAGTCATGCATTTTTGTTCTCTCTGCTTTCTTGCATTTACTTTCTTTTAGATTACTCCAAACAGGCCTTAATCATGGCTGATCTGCCACTTAATATAGCTGGGAAGGTCTGGTGAATGCTATGGAATTCTCTCTCCCTTTGGAAATAATATTGGTTTTATGTTTCCATATGACAACGTCAGCAGGTTCTGGCTGAGTCTAATTGCTGTCCCCTAAGCAGCACCTGTTCATTTTTCTTTTACAGTGCTTCTGGGCATTCTTCTGTGGCATTATTCCAGTGATCAGAATATCATTTGAATAATGACACATCACATCTTTAAGTCACAGAGCATTTGGAATCTGAATTTTGGGTCACAAACATAATGTTTTCAAAATGTTAAACCTGTCCCTCTTTAACAGAGTTCTCCTCCCCTCCCTTTTTAAATTGGGTGTGCCCACAAATACAAATTAGTCATAGAGCTTGCTGAATATATTTTTTAAGATGAGCATTTGGCATTGCCTCCAACAGAGTCAAAGCCTGGAAAATGATTACAGTCATATGACTTTAGAAGTATGGGGGATGTTTCATAGTCTCATTCAGGAGTTTTTAAACTGTGCTTCATGGAGCCTGTTATCTGGAGGGTGCTTTATGGAATGGCCACAGAAATGCTGGTTCCAGGCCTCTATTCCTCTACAGATGAGAAGCTTTTCCCTTTATTGGAACTCCTTGTAAGATTTCATTTGAAGAATGGCTCCATAGCTATTAAATAAAAGAAATACTGGAAACTACATACCCAGTTTAAAACCTTTATTCCAGATGAGAAATAATGAGGTCTAGAGAGGGTATAGAACTTTTTTTATGGTGGAGTCTAGTAGCTAACTATGGGGTGGACCCTGTATTCACTCCCTATCACACAGTTTTTCTACTTAACAATAGTGTTTATTGAAGTTCAGATTTATTTGAAGCTCGTGGGTTAGAGCCACAGAATTTCAGACCCTGAAGGGAACCTTTATTCTTCCCATGCTATTGTCCTCAAATGATTTGTCTTGTGCTCATATGTGCCATTGACATACCAAGGAAGATACACAGAGCAGGCTCAGATGGGGCAGGAAAAGGATGATGTCAAAATGGCGGTGACCTTTAATAATTCTGTGAACTTCAGTGTGTAGGACATTATTTTTGATTTTTAATATCATTGCTACCCTTCTAAGAGGTCTTCTCTGAATTGCAAGGAATGAAACATAGAAACTGCATTTCCCAGGTTCTCTTGCCAGGAGGGTCTTGGTCAGATTCCACCAAAGGGGGCACTCCCTGGAGATTTGGAAGGCAGAAAGAAAGGAGAAACTATTTTCCTCATATAAGCATGAGAAGGCAGCTGATACAGGAATTTGCTTACAACTTGGTGTAGAACATCATCCTAAGAATAATCCACTTCTGTGCTGTAGGCAGCTGAGATCATTAGCAGTGAATTCCAACTGCATTGCAGGTCTTTCTGAGAATGAACTCTTTGTGCTGCAAAAGCTGAGACCATTGGAAGCGGCTTTCCAATTATCCTGTACTTCTGAAGTTCTCTGAAAGAGAACTTCCTGGTCTATGCTTTCCAATAGCCATGTCTCCTCTAATTCCCTGTATTAAACTTCTTCATACTCAAAATATGAAGAGGAGCTTCTGTTTTCTGGATCATGGCTTGGTAGGTCCAGAAATTGGTTCCTTCAAAGGAAGTAGCATATAGGGAGGCAGGTGGGTGGCAAAGAAATTGATATCTGAAGCTGGAAAGAGAAATTCATGTTAAGTAGTGAAAAGACACTTGGAAGGTATACCTGAATATACCTATTCATCTTGCAGCATGGGGAGATGGTGTGTATTGATTATTATTGGCTGTACCTAATAAATATTACAGGAAAGAGAAGAAGAGCTTAGGAAAACATTGGCTACATGGCAAGCAAAAATGAAAAGAAATGGAGAAATTCCAGAAAGTCAGAGCTTTGCAGATTAGGAAAAGTCAACTATTTCTAGGTTCCAGACAGCAACAGAGAGGGTTAAAAAAAAGCTTTGAGCAACAATGGCACAGTAAAAATCATCAGTTGAATAACATGATTCAAGGCAAAGATCAGTTCAAGAGGACAGGCTTTCTATTTTAGCCAGGTAGGCTCAAGGTCACCACTAATAAGTTGAAGAAACATGGAAATAAGGTAAATTTGAGAAGCATGTGTTAGAAAGAACTTAGGTATGATTTTTGCATCTGAAAATGACTAGAGAAAAATAAATCAGAAGCCTACTAATTTTTCAGCAGATTGTATTGACAATGAAACCATTAGCCTGTATAAAACAAAAGAAAGACCTTTTGATGTTTTCAAAGACTTTGACTAACTCTGGGGTCTTTATCTTCCAAAAATAGGAGACAACTTCAAAGATGGTTTAATTCCTACGAGGCTTTCCTCAAATGTAGCCAAATGAGTAAAAAACTAAGAGGAGTCCCCATGGTCAGAGCCAGAGGACATGGAGAATAGCAGGCAGAGATGTTCTTCTCCAAAGAATAGAACCAAGGCCTGGTCAAGGGACTTTTGCCCACCCCAGGGCTGGGAAACTAGCTTCAGATGCAATTAGGTCATGACCTAATTTTTGATCTTTTTATGTAGGGCTTCTCAGATGTTTTAATTCTAGGATACACTTTCAATACCTTGATACATCTGCAGGAAGGAGGCACTTTCTGTATTCCCTTATCCACAGACAAAAATTTTTGCATTTACTATGGAAGGAATAAGCCTTGGAAAAGAACTCCTTGACTCTGATGGTCACAAATGAGAAAGGAAGAGAAGGGTGTATGCACAGAGCTCCCAAGAAGGATGCAGGTTCTGCTATGTTGAGTGCTAGTTGCTATAGACCACTCACACTAGAGACAGGAACTTGGGGACACTGAGTGAAGTCCTGGCCTGGAAAAGTAAGCGGGAGATTGTGAACTGAGAGGAAGCAAGGGGGAAGGAGTATAAGAGGCCAGCTGCTGTTCATGAAAGAAACCTGCTGCAGATCTTACAGATACATTGAAAGGTGCTACACTTGTCACCCAAAGTCCCACAGTTAATGGTGACTGGTGAGACTCAGTGGAACTTCTAGTCTAGGCATGATTGATACCTTGCCTTTTAAAGAACATCACATTTATGTTTTCCTTAATAATAAATGCTATATTTGTTAACTGTAGAACATTTAGGAATTATAGAAAAACACAAGGTAGAAAAAAATTCATAATTCCTAACCCAGGATATAATCACTATTAATATTCTGTTAGAGTTCTTATCAATCTTTAAAATCTATATACACATATTTTAAAAACAAGGTGGATATATATACTCTAAAGGTATTTTGTATTAGTATAGGCCAGGTTATGCTGCTGTAACTAATTAACCTCAAACCTCGATGCTTTACAGTAAGATTTACCTGTCCTTCATGGCCTGTGTCCATTGCGGGTCAGCTCCAGCTCTGCTCCACACTGTCCTCATTCCAGTGACCCAAGGTAAAGGAGCAGTATCTATTGGAAACAATCTCCTGGCCAAGAGAAAAGAGAATATGGCAGATCGTACACTGGCCCTAAGGCTTCTGCCTAGAAATGATACATAACACATCATTTCTGCCTGCATTTCATTTTGGAAAGCAAGTCACATGGCCAAACTTGATGGCAATGGGTAAGAAAATATAATCCTCCTTTAGGGATGGGTAGCAAAGATCTCTGAACGATAGTCCTTATACCATTCTAAACTCCTTTGCAAGTACTGGAATTGTTATAAAATTAATGTGATGTTGCTTTCTCTGAGAATTTTTACACGTCTCCTACCTTGGGTTCTTCTCATTTTTGTTCTCCTTGACATAGGAAGGGAATGGGTCAGAGACCCTACCACCATTGGAAATGAATTTATTATTTATAAAGAGCAATTAATATCTAAAGGAAAATTCTAGAAGTTTATAGAAGTCTAAAACATATATGTCTAACTATATATAGAGAGAGGTTGCAGAAATTTTAAAGTACATTCTAAATTCAAGAACTTATTCCACAGAAATCTTCCGCAAATGGTGATCCATAGCTGGCTTTTCTGTGCTGAGAGAGGGACTGTTTTCTGGCACTGTGGCAACCCTTTCTAGCAGCTGGTTCAAGGGTCCATATGTAATGAGAGCTCGTGTTTTGGGTTCAGATGCCCACACCTACCTATCTCTGTCAGCCTCCTACCTTCTGTTCTCAAAGGCTCTGCCTAGGGGGTCCGGATGCAGCTTCGCAAATCTGAAATCACCCGCTCATTTTCTCGGTACCCAGCTGTTTGAGAACAGAAGGAAGATGCCTGTTCTCCGATGCCCCGTGCACTCCTGGCCCTTGGCTTCGCGGGTGCCACCTCCTGTGCTGAGGAGGACGTGACACTCAGTCACTATCCATTATGTCCTCGCCAGGGCCCACAGGTGTCTTCCCAGAGACAGGGGAACATTCATAAAGCTACGTGGCACCTCCTGATGTTGCCCCTGTCCCGGTTTCTAATTGGCATGCTCGATGCTCAGGCAGCAGGGACTATCCTAATTTTACATTCATTTTCAGTGTAGTGGAGATCAAATTATTCTCAGATGATAACAAATCACCTTTTTCCTTTTCTTGCAACTGTGGTTTAACTTCCCTGGTTTGGACAGCCAATGGTCTCTTCTGGCTTTGCACCATGTTTTGTCCTTAGCATCTGTCCTGTGTTCACTGTCCCTTCTGCCTCTTTTCCTAGTCAGCTTTGGGGGTTGTCTGCTTCTATTTATTATTTGGTAAAGAGTGTGCATGTTTTACATTCCAAAATCACTGGGCAGGTAAAGCTCCTTACTGAAATGGAGTGGACTACGGTGTCTGCTAGATCAGCTGACCTCTCCAAAAGGCAATGATTACCCCTCCTGTCTCCCACCGTCTCTTCTGGAACCCCTGCCCCCCAAATGAACACAGCTCTAAAACACAGCAGCAGCCTTTAACATTTTGTTTTCAGTCCTAGCCCTCTAAAGAGGCAAATTCCAGTGTTTTTAAAATTTTTTTATTTCTTTTGAGTCAGAGTCTCACTCTGTTGCCCGGGCTAGAGTGCCGTGGCATCAGCCTAGCTCACAGCAACCTCAAAATCCTGGGCTCAAGCGATCATTCTGCCTCAGCTTCCTGAGTAGCTGGGACTACAGGCATGCGCCACCATGCCCAGCTAATTTTTTCTATGTATTTTTAGTTGGCCAATTAATTTCTTTGTATTTTTAGTAGAGAGGGGGTCTCACTCTTGCTCAGGCTGGTTTGGAACTCCTGACCTTGAGTGATCCTCCCACCTCGGTCTCCCAGAGTGCTATTTTTTATTTTTTAAAACATACCAGAAGCTGAACAAAGGCTGCCCAAGTTATATGATTTCTTGATTTGAATACAAGTGGAAGAGCCAGAATTCCTGTCCACAGTACATACACATCCACAAATTTGACCTTTGTCTTTTCAAATGGTCATCATCTTGCCTTCAGTGAATGTCATGGAAGAAAAGAATTCTAGTAGCACTGTCTGCAAATATGGGCACTTCTTGGGGAGACAGTAAATCTTGTGTCAATGGTGAGTGCAGATAGATCTGGAATGGAGGGAATGAGGCTCTGAGATTAAATGAGGTTAGCTTCCATACACTTTATGATATTTTCAACCCTGAGATTTCGTGGATCCACGTGCATTGTGTTGGTTGCTTTGTCAAAATGAGCTAAGAAGGAGAAAGCAAACGGGAAAACAATTTCTCAGACAAATCATTCCTTTCCCTCAGTTAGTCCTCTGTTTGGATGTCTAAAGTGTGGCCTCCTGAATGCCAGGAGCTTATCTTTGGCAGCAAGACAAGCAAACACTGGGCCTGAAATCAGAAGGGAAGGAGGGGGGAAAACAACAAAAAGACTCCTTGCCAGGAGCGGGGAGAAGGAGACGTGGAGGAACAGCCTCTTGACTGGCACGGCAGGGCTCTGAAGCCTGGGACAGCTGTGGAGCCCGTCGCCTCTGGAGGGAGGGTTACTTCTGCCCCGGCTCCTGCCCTCCCTGCACATCCTCTCCCACTGAGTTCGTTCTTGGCTGGTCCTCACTCAGAGGCAAGAGAGCCAGGAGCTGGGGTAGAGCCAGATTAGAGACTGGAAGTTCACCTACCTTTGTGATGTTAAAGTTAAGGGGGACAGGGGTGAGAGAGAAGGCTTAAAGGAATGTTGCTTCCATTCTGAGGGTGAGCTATGGAGGCACTGGCTTTTGAGAGAACAAGAGAGTAGCTTAAAGAATGGTGTTTTTATACACCCATCCCCTATAAATGTTACTCCTATATGTCCACTTAGGTGTTGATCTGTTAATACCAATTTGCTGGTGAGTACATGTGGTGCTGGTTTTTCTATTCTTGAGATACTTCACTTAGTAGAATGGGTTCCAGCTCTATCCAGGAGTATACAAGAGGTGCTATATCACCATTGTTTCTTAAAGCTGAGTAGTACTCCATGGTATACATATACCACATTTTATTAATCCACTCATGAATTGATGGGCACTTGGGGGGATGGGTGTATACAACCACAATGAGTAAGATGTGCAACATTTGGGGGATGGTCATGCTTGAAGCTCTTACTCAAGGAGGGAGGGGGGCATGGGCAATATAAGTAACATTAACACTTGTACCCCCATAATACGCCAAAATAAAAAAAAATAAAAAAAAAAAGAACGGTGTTTTTGAACGTTGTGGGATTTTCCACCTCTGCTAAAGCAACATAACTCACGTATTGGTGGATGTTTGTTGTTAGCGCTTCTTCAGCTGTATGGAGGAGAAACAGCTGGATTTCATTGCCTGTGGAAGAGTGACCAAGCTCCTTGGCCACCCTGCTGCACAAGGACTGTACTCCAGGATTTGTGTGGAGTGGCTGTGAAAGAACAGGTTTGATCTCTTAAACCCTGTTAGTGGTAGCTAGATAGGGAATAAAGCCATGTATTAAGCTGTTATAAAACATGAAAAGCTAAATAGCTGCCCGGTGTCACTGAAGAATTGAAGGTTAGAGTTTTGACCAGCTTGGTTAGGGGACAGCTCTCAAAGCTCCCAAATTTTAGCCAATGTAGGCTCTTCTCGGATCCCAGCCTAACCAGATCTAGTTGTCACCTGACACCCCTGACCAGTAGTTATTAACTCTTCCCAATATAAATTAATGTATGCTCTCTACTCCAGGTGGTTCTCTACTTCTCAAACAGAATAAAAATCTAAGCACCCAGCAATCTAGCAATGTCCTTGGAAGGCTTGGTGGGGGATAGTTTGTTTTCTAATTTTTCTCACAGGTATTGTCAGAGAAACAGAGGTACTGGTTTTATAGCACTAGTCCAGAAAGGTTGAATTATTGATGTGGGATTAACATCAATTATGTTTAAAAAGCTCCAAAAAGAAAGCAAAAAAAGAGATCATTTGATTGAATGTTAATATATTCAGTGAGTATACATAAGACAAAAGGGTAGAAATTATGGAGAGATATATTTTGAGAATAGAGCTGTTCCAAGATAAAATGGACGGACTTGGTTGATAGGGGGCTTCCTTTTGTCAAAGTATTCAAACAAAGGCTAGAAAATTATTTGTTCATTAACAAGTTTTAGGGTGTAAAAATAGCAATGAGTATTTTACTTCACTAACTAAGGAGTTCTGTGAGCTCCCAAATGTGAGCTCCCAAATGTGAATGTAAAATTATTATGTATCTGCACATTTTCTGAAGTTATATTTGTTCCTTTGTTTTTCAGTTGCAAACTCTTGTGCATGATAAACCAGTTAACTAGCTCCAGCTTTCCATGTCAAGCTTCCAGTTAGGCTCTTGGGCTGCACCCTTGAACATGACTGTTTTGTAAGGATCAACACACATATGAGGATAACTTCTAGCAGAAAAGACAGAAGCCAAAGAAACAAAGAGAGTAGAGGCAATGAGAGAGAAGAAAAAAGAAAGAAAAAGCAAAAACACCAAAAAATAAACAAATAACTCATTAATATAGACAGAGAAGTAAGAGCATATTTCAGAAAACAATGAACTGGAAATTATCATTCAGAGCACAAAAAGGAGCTCTTAGAAATTAAAATTATGACGGAAGACATGAAAAATGCATAAGAAGGATTCAAATACAAAATTAAGTAAATATCCCAGAAAGTTGAAAGGGAAGACAAAGGAACGGGAAATAGGGAGGAAAAAACGTGAGGATTAGCGCAGGAGACCCAACATTTGAATATAAGAAAGAGCTGGATAAAATAAAGAGGATGTTATCAAAGAAATAATTCAAGGAAAAATTTCCAGAAGGAAAGAGTACATGGATTTCCAGGTAGAAAGAGCCTAACAACTATGTTCTTTCATCTTTTTTTAATAGATGTAAAAAAATTTTCATACTAAGGTATGCAAATATAAAATTTCAGAATACTGGATCAGCAAGAAAATTCCAAGTTTCTAAAAAGGAAAACAAAACAAAATCAGATACATACAAAAGACTGGAAATCAGAGTGAAATTAAACTGTTAAACAGTAACACTAGAATTGAGTACACAATGATTAATGAGTTTATTTATTATAAAGAGAAAATTATTTTCAACTCAGAATTTTATATCCAGCTAAACTATCAATTGGATAGTGGTAGGGGTGGGGCAGGGGCAGAAGAATAAAGACTTTTTTATATATTCAAGATGTTATGCAAACAATGGCAAATATCTATATGACACACACACCAGGGAGTGTGTGCAACAGTGTTCGCTAGGGAAATTCATAGTAACAAGATCAGTAGTAGGCAAGAAGTTCTCCTATTGCCTATCACACCCTGGGGAAGAGTACAGTCTAACAGAGCTAGATGTCAGACTCTGAAGGAGGTACTCAGACACTTGGGCTTTGGAGCTTTTACACTATTCATGATTAGTAAAGCCCTTCTCCTGGAATGATTGGAAAACTAGGGCTCAAAATTTGTTGATGATCAGAAGTGATTGCCTGGAGCATCAGATATATCTCATTTAAACTGAGCTTTAAAGGAAGTCAACTTTTTTGCCGGGAGGTCAGTCTATAGAATATAAGTCTTGGACAAGTTCTCCTTTTCCTCTCTGAAAAAGAGGAAATTTTGTGTGAAGAGATTTCTTCACACAAATCTCTTCTGAGGAAACTACTGGTTGATGTCACCCACCTTACTGAGGGAGCAAACCAAGAAAGATGAAGACATACAATCCAAGACAAAGGGGATACATGCAGGGGAGGCAAAGATAATTACCAGGATGACAATGAAGGGATATTCCTAGGACAGCGAGCAGCAGGGGCAACCTAGACTGGTGGATGGGTGCAATAGGAGAGAGGGCTCCAGGTATAAGGTTCTCAAGAAGATGAAATTGATACACCACCCATTTTTAAAACAGCTTTATTGAGATCTAATGGGCACAGAATAAACTAAACATATTTGAAATACTCAATGATAAGTTATGACATATACACCCATGAAATCTTTATCCCAATCAAGATAATGATCATATTCATCATCATCAAATGTTCCCTTTGTAATCCCTACTTTCTTCCCCTTCCTGTTTTCCCAATCTCCTGTTTTCTGATTACATTGGGTTTTATTTGGTCTGTCTTCCTAGTTTTTTAAGGTGAGCACTGACGTCATTAATTTGATATCTTTCTGTCTTGCTCTTCCCTGTCTTCCTAATCCCAATCCTGACCTGCTTTCTGTCACTGTAAGTTCATTTGCATTTTCTAGAATTTTATACAAATGGAATCATACGTTTATATTCTTTTTTCCTCTGTGTTCTTTCACTCTTCATAAATGTTTTGAGATTCATTGATGTTGCCATGCTGTTCTGACATATATCAATAGTTTATTCCTTTTTTTGTTGTGTGGCATTCCATTGCATTAATATACCACAAATTTTTGTTAATGAACACTTGTGTTATCTCACCTGTTGATAAACATTCAGATTGTTTCCAGTTTTGCCTATTGAAAAGGAAGCACTACGAACATTCACATATGAGCCTTTATGTGGACATATGCTTTTTTTTTTTTTTTTCCTGTGGTGAATACCTAGGTCAGGAATGGCTGGATAATATAGCAGAACTGTCTTCCAAAGTGGTTGTACCATTTTACATTACTACCAGCACTGCATGAGAGCTCCAGTACTTCCACATCCTTACCAGCATTTCATATGGTTAGTCTTTTAATTTTGGGCATTCTAACAGCTTGTCAGAAATCAATTATGCACATAAACACAGGATTATTTTGGACTCTTTATCCAGTTTCACTGATTTATCTTGATGTCAACTTCACAGTGTTTTGTTTATTATTGCTGTATAATAAGTCCTGAATTCAGATGTGTAAGTTCTCCAATTTCTTTTCAAAGTTCTTCTTCTTATTTTTTTTTAAGTCATTTTGACCATTCTGGTCATTTGCTTTTCCATATGAATTTTAGAATCTGCTTTCTACCAAATAAAAAGAAACAAGCCTGTTGAGATTTTGGCAGGGATAGCGTTGAATCTATAGGGCAACTTGAGGAGAAATGACATCATATCAATATTGAGTTTTCCAATCCATGAATATGGTATAATTTATCATTTCTTGAGGTCTTCTTTAATTATTTTCAGCAATGTTTTATGCTTTTCAGTATACAGGCCTTGCACATCTTTTTTCCAATTTATCCCTAAGTATTTTAAATTTTCTGATATAATTATAAATAGTATTCATACCTACATTTCAATTTCTGCTTGTTCATTGTTAGTATAAGCAATACAATTAAGTTTTGTATATTGCTCTTAAGTCCTACTCACTTATCAGATCTAGTAACTTTTTTTGTATATTCCAAGGGATTTTCTACATAGATGATTATGTTGTCTATAAAGACAGTTGACTTCTTTTCTAATCCGATGCATTATATTTTATTTTCTTAACCTATTGCACGAGATGGAACTGCCAGTCTGTGTTAAATACAAATGATGAAGTATTCAAATGACAAGTATTTTTTACTTGTTTCTGATTTTGGGGGGAAATAATTTCATCTTTCATGGTTAATTTGATGTTAGCTCTAGGTTTTTTGTTCATGCCCTTTATCAGGTGGAGGAAGTTCCTTTCTATTTGTAGTTTTGAGATTTTATTTAAAATCAGGAACAGATGTGGGATTTTGTAAAGTAATTTTTGTGCATCTATTGAAATTATCACATGATTTTTCTTTTTAGCCTAGTAATATGATGAATTACACTAATTGATTAGGATATCAATCATTGATTGGATTTGAAAAAAAAGTTGGAGGGCTTACACAATCTAAATTTAAGACTGATTATAGAGTTATAGCAATCCATGGTGTAATGGTTAGCACTCTGGACTCTGAATCCAGAGTTATAAGTAATCAAAATAATGTGGTGCTGGCATCAAGATAGACAAGTAAATCACTCTTGTGGGCAATGGATTGTTTATAAAGGTGCAAAGGCAATTCAGTAGAAAAAGAACGGTTCAAATAGTGCTGAAAGAATTGAATATCCATATGATGTTAAAGCAACTTTGCAAAACCTTTGGGATAAAACCTACTTGGTCATGCTATATTATCATTTTTAATATATTGCTGGATTCATTTTACTAAAATATTATTAAGAATTTTGACATCTATGTTCACAAGAGATTTTAGTCTATAGATTTCCTACATTGTCTTTGTATCATTTTGGTCTCAGGGTAATATTGGTCTCATAAAATGATTTGGGAATTATTCCTTTCACTTTAATTTTCTGGAAAAATTTATGTAGAATTGGTATGAATTCTTCCTTAATGTTTGGTAGAATTCACCAGTGAAACCATCTAGGCCTGGGGTTTGATTTGTAGAAAGATAATATACTGTCAATTCAATTTCTTTAATACACATAGGGCTATCAGGATATCTATTTTTTCTCGAATGTGTTTTGGCAGTTTTTGTCTATCAAGAAATTTGTCCGTTTCATCTAGGTTTTCTAATTATCTTGTGTCCTTATTATATTGCTAATATCTATAGGCTCTCTAGTGGTGTCACCTCTTTCATTCCTTATGTTAGTCATTTGTGCCTTGTTTCTTTTTTTTCCTGATCAGTCTGAGTAATGATGATTTTATCGATATCTTCAAAAAACTAGCTTTTGGTTTTCATTCTCTCTTTTATTGATTTCTACTCTGATCTTAATTTGTTCTTGTTTTCTGCTTACATTGGGTTTTATTTGGTTTTTCTTCCTAGTTTTTTATTTTTATTTATTTATTTTAAGACCAAATTTCACTCTGTTGCTCAGGCTAGAGTGCCATGGTGTCAGCCTAGCTCACAGTAACCTCAAACTCCTGAGCTCAAGGGATCCTCCTGCCTCAGCCTCCCAAGTAGCTGGGACTATAGGCATGTGCCACCATGCCCGGCTAATTTTTCCTATATATTTTTAGTTGTCCAGCTAATTTCTTTCTTTCTTTTTTTTTTTTTTTTTTAGTAGAGACAGGGTCTCACTCTTGTTCAGTCTGGAAATCCTGAGCAATGATCCTCCTGTCTCGGCCTCCCGGAGTGCTAGGATTACAGGCATGAGCCACCATACCCGGCCTCTTCATAGTTTTTTTAAGGTGAATACTGAGGTCATAAATTTGATACTTTCTTTATTTTTTAATATAGCATTTTCTAATATAGGTGTCTGTTGTCTACTAAGTATCTAAGTACTACTTTAGATGCATCCTACAAATTCTGATATGTTATGTTTTCATTTTCACTCAGGACATAATGCTTTCTAATTTCTCATTTGATTTCTTCTTTTCCCATGGGTTATTTAGAAAGATATTATTTCTGATATTTGGGCTTTTTCTAGATATGTTTCTGTTTTTGATTTCTAATTTATTTTCATTATGATCAGAGAATATATTTTGTATGACTTGAATTCTTTTAATTTATTGAGACATGTTTTAAGGCCCAGAATATGGTATATCTTGGTAAACGTTCCATGTCCACTTGAAAAGAATGTGTATTGTGCTGTCATTGAGTGGAATATTATATAAACAGGAATTAATTCAAGTTAGTTGGTAGTGGTGTTCAAGTCTTTTATATCCTTACTGATTTTCTCTCCACTTGTTTTACAATTATCAAGAGCAGGGTGTGGCAGTCTCTGACTGTTAACTGTGGATTTTTTATTTCTTCTTGCAGTCTTTGCATCATGGATTTTGAAGCTCTGTTTTTAGATGTATGAACATTTAGGATTGTTATTTCCTCTTGATAAATGAACTGGTTTGTCCTTGTGAACGATCCTTCTTTGGTAATTTTCTTGGCTCTGAAATCTGCATTGTCCGATGTTAATATAGCCACCCTTAAAAAATTTTTTTTGATGTTACCATGTTGCCCCCATCCTTTTACTTTTTAACCTAGTTGTTGAAAGCCTTATATATTTGGGTCTTGCTTTCTCACCTAATCTATGGTAAGGTTTTATTTTCGTGTGTGTAAAGAAATTCAGAACATGCCACCTTTCTAAACTGAAATTTCAGTAGGGAAAATCAAAGAATATTCCCAAGCCCAAAGACCACTGGACTAATCAAAATACCCTGTCAGTTATATGAGCGACTCTGACAATGAACTGATGTACTGAGGGCCTGGAAGGGGTTGGGGGCTGTTGGGCGGTGAGGGTCCTCATTCAAACCATACAGACTAGATTTCTGAACAGCTGTGTCCTCTTATGAATGCGACATTCTCATTTTTCTTTACTTTCCCAGCAAGTTCTCTGTAATCCAGGAGACTGAAGACAGATTTTTCTCCTCATAAAGGTAAAGTCCCCAGGGTTTAGGGCATGGAACACCCTTGGTTAGGCTTCCTTTATATTTTTAAGCACATTGGCCAGGTGTGGTGGCTCACGCCTATAATCTTAGCACTCTTGGAGGCCGAGGCAGGAGGATTGTTTGAGCTTGGGAGTTTGAGACCAACTTGAGCAAGAGCAAGACCCCGTCTCTACTAAAAAAAAAAAAATAGAAAGAACTTAGCTGGAGAAGTAAAAAAATATATATATATATATTTATAAGCATATATATATTTATAAGCATATATATATATATAAATTAGCTGGGCATGGTGTCGCATGCCTGTAGTCCCAGCTTTTGGGAGGATGAAGTAGGAGGATCTCTTGAGCCCAGGAATTTGAGGTTGCTGTGAGCTAGGCTGATGCCACGGCACTCTAACCCAGGCAAACAGAGTAAGACTCTGTCTCAAAACAAAGAAAAAAAAAGTATGTGTGTATATATATATATATATATATATATATATATATATATATATATATATTTAAGCACATGGATTCCTGGTGCAAGATCCTAACCAGCTGAGCTGCTAGAAATTTTCATACCCTATACACAAGTTCACAGGGGTGAAAAGGAAAACAAGACCATGGGTTTGGAATTGTTTGTTTTACTATAATTTGAAAAATAAACACGTTTCCCTGTCTGGAGTCAC